TTAGTTCGAATATGTAACAAGGCAATTTTGAGTACACAGCCCTATTATTTCATTAGTTAATAACATGGAAGTTGCTTGGTAAATTTTAAATAATTTGATAAGTTTTTGTCCTTTATTATTATTTCATCTGTTTATTATATGGGTAAGTTTATCCTATAAAAGAAAGTACCTTTGATTGAGTTTATTTAGTAAGATATAGCATTATGTTAGGGTGCGTATACATCTGGCGTATGCGCCGCGAATGTCCAGCTCGCGAGCCACTCGTAAATCGCTCGCGAGCTGCGTGTTGTTCGTGTGCAGTTCGCGGGCGACCTAAGAGCCGTACGTGATCAGCGCGCGAGTGGCATGCGTGCTGCAAATGGTAAGTGTAAGTGCTAGAATTGAGTGCGCGCAGATCGCGCGCCGCTCGCGACCCTTATACGAGTCTTGCATGAGTTGCACTAAAGAGTCGCACTAAACCATTACCGTAACTGCAAGGACGAGTGTGACTCGCGAGGTGCGCATTCGCCAGATGTGGACGCACCCTTAGATAACATTGATAGTACCTGAAACTAATTCATGTATAACATCTTGGTTGAGACTGCGTCGATGGCCGAGTGGTTGCAAGTGCGACTGCCGGGCAAGGGGTCTCGGGTTCGATTCCCAGGTCGGGCAAAAGTATTACTGGGTTTTAAAAAAAATCTCAGTAATAGCACGGAGCGTGGAAATGTGTCCGGTATATGGCAATAGACTCACCCCCTATTACATGGGACTCATAACATAAATAGTGAAAAGTGGGTGTTACTTCTGTGTGCATCTCTGCCTTCGGGGATAAAAGGCGTGATATTATGATGTTATCTTGGATGAGAATTCCAAAATCAAAACGTCAATCTATCATTCATCGACGTGAATCAAACTGTAGGTTTCAGATAGCATTCTACTGAATCCAATCTTCAAAATGTCATACAACAGAATGGTCAAATATTCCCAGAATGGGCGGAAAACTTTTTCACAGAACATAAAAGCGAATGCAAACAAGGCACCGTTTATGCTTTCAGATGTCAACCCACAAAGGGTAATGCATTCCCCTCTTGTATAAGAATGGGGAGCAGAGAAGGAATCGTAATGCATGCGATCTGCAACTACGAAGGTATATTTTAAATGTATTTGGTTCAAGCACAATACGAGTTGAGGGGATTTTATTATACAAGGCACAAGAGTCTGCAAATACAGATGGTCTGCATTGTTTGCTATTGTATATTTCTGTTGCGAATGCATTAGTATGAATCTTCTTACAAGACATTTTGCTTGCATAATGAAAATACAATGGGAACGAATTTTATGTAACTTTCAAGCGCAACGATTGATATAAATATTTGATTTTATTCTTTAGACGTCTATAGATAACAAGAGCTCCGTGGTACGTGTATTTGATAAGCTTAAATTAGTTATAAAGTAGATGTTTAATGTTATAAAACATTACTCAAATATTCAGGTAGGTATATTGCTTGTGTTATTCTAGAATTTTTTAATGTTTAAAATTTGAAACAGTATCTAGTAGTAGTATGTGAGTAGGCTGTGACCTATCGATAACTTTCCTTTACAATATCAATAACGCTAGATACCTATCTACCTAACAAGTTAATTGAGTAGAAGTAATTTACCACCTGGTTAATGAAATGAAGATATTAAATGTTCGATTATTATCTTGTATTGGATTTTTATTATCACTATAATACGTAAGTCTAGGTACTTATGTTGTCAGTAGATAGCATTTCTTTGAAAATATATACATACGTCATATTTATCGATCGGACGATTCTTTCAAATTCCCTAGATAATGCATTCTCATATTGGCACAGCTAAGTAGTATTTAAGCCGCTTAAAGTCAAATATGGTAGGTACCTATGAATTTAAATACTAAGTGGCTATACTTATGATTATCTACATATATATGTAAAAATGAACCCCGTTTTCCGTTGTCATGCCATGACTTGAGAAGCCTGGCTGATGTTTTTGTTGTGTTTATTTTTGTCAGGAGAAGGTTCTTATGACAGAAAAAAGTCCTACAAATCTTACGGGAACGGGAGAAAACGGGATTGCGCGTACGAAGTCGTGGGCAGAAGCTAGTTTTCAATATTAATTATTTGTTAGTGGCTGACTATAGTTCCATACAATGTAGGCTGGGTAGTCTATGACCATTAGCACATTAGATATTTTTTTCGAAAATTGTTACAAAATTCTAGTTGTTTGCTACTTGACAAAACGGTAATAAAATTATTCTGACATCTTTCTAGATTGGAGAAATTGTGTCCATCGGCTCCAGCTTGCGGCTATATAGGCGCAAAATCTGCAGACTGAAATGGCAATGGGCAGGCCACGTCGCTCGAAGGACTGACGGCAGATGATGCGGGGGTTTTTTTAATAGGTAGAGTGATTCTTTACACTTTGAAATATAATATCGGAGTCCCCTCAACATTTGTTCATAATAGTAATAATAAACATGTCATTAGCATCGAAAACAGACAACTACTTTTTAGCATGTATATAACAGACTTGTGATATAAACTTATTATCAATAATTTTTGCGTTATAACGAGATAATGAATTTTTATCAATGACATATGACGTCAAGCGTTTACCAACGATTATCATAATTTGTTTTGAATGAAAAGATTGTTATCAAATCATATGATTGGCTTGAACATGTATTATAATGATAGATACTAAAAATCTCTGATAAATAAATCCGTTAATTATATTATTTTTGTAATAGGTACCAGCTGGTAATTTAATCTATAATTATTTTATTACATGTCTAGAGAGTCTTGTTAAAGAGTCGAATTATATAAGCCCTCTTTCACCAACCTCTTTTAAATTCTCAGAAACCTCTAAGCTGAGATTGATGAACTGTAAATACATTTGGTTCTTACCAAACCATAAGTGACAGATCAGTACAAGTAAGGGGTTACTTTAAGTAGCTTTTAGTTATGACTGCACGGTTGGTGCAGTGGCTGGGCAACCGGCTGCCGTGCAACGTGTCGCGGGTTCGATTCCCGCACGGGACAACACTTTGTGTGATCCACAAATTGTTGTTTAGGGTCTGGGTGTCTTTGTGTATGTGAACTTGTATGTTTGTAAATGCACCCACGACACAGGAGAAAATCCTAGTGTGGGGCAACGTTTTTTTTAAATAAAAAAAAAGTTAAGAGATGGTTTAGGGGTCGTTGGTGAAAACGACTATAAAAGAGTTAGTTTGCGTAGAGATTCCAACGGTTAGTAGTAGTCAGTTAGGAAATGTCGGCCTCATCGTTCGCTTTATAAAATTGATGAGTAAAACTGCGGCATTGTAGACTATTTGCAGAAATAAATTCACCTGTTTCACTTGTTGTTAAAGAAGTTGTGTAGTGAAATAAAAACATCAATAAACCTTTGTAGCACCTAAAAATAATACTATTATATAGTCAAAGTCAAAAGTCAAAATCATTTATTTCAATTAGACTAGAAAGGCACTTTTGAACGTCAACAAAAAATAAATAAATATAACATAACATAACATGACGCCTTTTATCCCCGAAGGAGTAGGCAGAGGTGCACATTATCCCACTGTACAATGTAACACCCACTTTTCACTATTTATGTTATGAGTCCCATGTAATAGTATATAATATTGATATTCTATTAAAATTCTCATTTATGAGGACAGGAGAATAAAATGCATTAAAAATATGTTTCATTAATTCGTTTATTCTACATTAGCACAATGCAAAACACATATTACAAATGACCTTTAAAGATCATGTACTTAAATAGGTAAATTACTTGACCTATAGTACCTAATACCTGACTGGCAAGTGGTATGATTTTAGAATATCACAATCAATCTTTCTTATTATCTTTTGTCAATGTTAATACCTAGTAGGTAATAAATAATCGGACGTGGAAGAATACCTAAAGAGATAATAATGAAATTTTAATGAAAACAACATTATCTATGTCGTCAAGTCTCCTAGATTTGTTACGTACCTACTATATTATTATAACATAACATAATATCACGCCTTTAATCCTCGAAGAGGTAAACAGAGGTGTACATTACGGTACTTAAAGCTACTGTACAATGTAACACCCACTCTTCACTATTTATGTTATGAGTCCCATGTAGCACTCCCTAAGTGAGCCTATTGCCATACCGGGCACATTTCTAGTCTCCGTGCTACTACTCAGATTTTATTTAAAAACCCCATAATACTTTGACTGACCCGGGAATCGAACCCGAGACCACCGGCCCGGGGGTCAAGTCAAGTCAAGTCAAGTCACACTTGCAACACACAATATACAAAATATTATCATTAAAATTTGTAAATACACTTAAAAATAGATTCATCATTCTTAACTTCAATTCCAAGCACACATCAATAGATTTATGCTACTTAAATATGTATTATTTAAGAGCAATGGTATGAGTATTGACAATTAATTCTAGGCATTATTATATTTGTACTATTCTCTATCTCAGAGTAAAGATCCATACTATCAATAAGGCCTCTGTCTCAAATTTTGAGGGCAGCGGGGCGGTGGCGGCGGCGGCGGCGCGGGAGCGGCAGGATCTTATCTTATATTATAAAATCAAATGGACTGGTTCTCAAAACACAGCTGCGTTGCGGCGGGCAACGAGCGGTGTACTCTAGGCAAGCAGTGCCAACCACGCCGCTGCCGCCACCGCCATCCCGCTGCCCGCAAAATTCGAGGCAGAGGCCTAACGCTCTCCTTCACTAAATAGTATAATACAAAGTCGCTATCCGCCATCTGTCTGTCCCTATGTATGCTTAGAACTTTAAAACTACGCACCGGATTTTGATGCGGTTTTTTTTAATAGATAGAGTGATTCTTAAGAAAGGTTTATATGTATAATACATGAATATTCACCCGTGCGAACCCGAGGCTGGTCGCTAGTTAAATATAAATCATTACGACATCTATTCTTATTTAGAGATTACTCATAACTCCATAACTATTCAATTAATCTGTTGGCACGTTTTTACGAATGCGAGTACTGCTGTCACCATTGATTTCAACTGTGATCACTTCAGGACCAGATCTTTCTAAGTCTTCATTTGTTTTGTTCATTGTATTTGAGGTACCATTCTTTTCAATATTAACATTCTCTGCTTTGTCTTCTTTCACTTTTACAGGCGGTTTGTTTACTGAAAGAGAAATTTAATTTAAATACATACGTTCAAAACAATTTATGATTGATTTAGTTATAACTTTTCGTTACTATATCAGGTAAATAAATTATTATAAAAGCATTTTAAGATAAAATGTAAAATGTAAGTAGGTATTACTTACATTTTACATTAACTCACAAATATATTATAGAGGTATACTTAAGAACTTACTTATATTCCGAACAAATCAATAAATATGTTAAAAAAATAAATGTTAAGCAAATGTAATTTATGATAAGCTAGTGACAGCCTTAAAATTTGCAACGCCTGAAAAAGGCCGTTATTTCATAAGACATATATGTATTTCCTTAATATGCATATAAAGACTTTGAGTTTGAGATTGAGTTTTTAGCTAATGAAACAAGAGAATTACCTGAATCCATCAACAACTTGAAGAGCACTGTTATGGGAGAGTCAATCAGTAGAATGAAGAAGAAAGATATGGCCGCAGATAGTACCATGTATGACATGAACTTAAATATCTGTTGACAAATACAGCAAATTAAACAACGAACTAATTTTTTTCTACCAATAAATACAGATTTTGTAAAGAAACTTACGAAATTTCCAACTGAAAAGTAGAATGGAGACACTGCAGTATTGTTCAAGGTGAACATGAGAGGATAGTGAAACAGGTACATCGCATACGACAGGCGAGCTGGTAGTCGCCATTCATCAAGTGACAGGAACCAATTTATAGGACCTGTAATAGAAAACAAATAAAGTGTTGTTAGATATGTACTCAAAATAACAAAAATGGGTCAAAGATTTCATTAATGGAATATGTATCTCACCAGAATATCCATGAACGCAAGCAATGATCAGCCAACAAATGGCAACAGCGTAAACAGGTCTCATGAATGAGTTCATCAGGTTATCCACTAGTTGGTTGTCCCAATCAAACTGCTTGATTCTATACTTGAAATAGAAGATACCTCCAAGTATACCAGCAAAGCACGCCCAGAAGAAAAGGGCAAGGAACTGGAAGTTAAATATGACTGTTAAAAGTAAACTAAAAACAACTATTTACAGAGAGCATCAAAAAATTCGTCCGCATCGAGGAAATAAGATTATTGTTATAATACACACACACACACACACACGCACACAAACACACACACTTTACACCAACACACCTCCGAACACACTGACACACCATTCTTTCACAAACAGTGTCAGTTTTATTTATTTATTTATTTATTTATTAACTAGCTTCTGCCCGCGACTTCGTACGCGTAATCCCATTTTTTCCCGTCCCCGTTCGTGATTTTCGGTAAAAAGTAAAAAAAAGTATTGGTTAAAAAGTATCCTATGTCGGTCTCCTGGCTCTAAGCTACCTCCCTACCAATTTTCAGCCAAATCTATTCTGCCGTTCTTGAGTTATAAGTGGTGTAACTAACACGACTTTCTTTTATATATATAGATTTATGTACACACATTCAACACAGAGGACAATACATAATAAAAAACAGAGTACATAGGCCCCACATATTCCAACTGGAATTTCTTCCTGTGGGCCTGTGGCAGGAAAAGAAATAATAATACAGAGACACATAGTGTGTTACACAAACAAGATAAAAATCAATTAATAAAAAAAGTAATAAGACCGAAGAAACCAATAGAATTAACAATAATAAACAATAAAACAAATTAATATAATACAATTATAATACATATATAAATAAATATAGAAAAACAAATCTGTATTTCAGGAGGAAAGATAATGTTCTCTCACTTGTCTCTTAAAGATAGAGATAGACTTTTAATTATTGTTTGTCTTTTTATTTCTCGTTTATAGTTATTCTGGTTTTGTTTATACTTTTGTCTAACTTTGAATTTACTCGTATACCTAATATGTAAGTCATTATTAATTGTCAAGTCTCACGTGGTGCTATCATTCCATGAATATTGAGAGACCTGGCTCTTGTGATACAGGGATACCTAGTACAAGAGCCAGGGCTTTACTGTGTTAATTCTATGAAGCGCTAATAAACGTTTATTATTATTTACGATTTACAATAATAAAACTTACCCATGGTATCTGTAATCTGCTCTTGCGATAGAGGTGAAGAACGTAACCGAATACCATTCCCACGAAGAAAGGCGAAGCCCTTGCCAAAGTGTTGAAGTAATATTCAGCTAAATAGTCCATCGTTTCTGGGAAACGGCTGAAATATGACCACATTTTACATAAATGTTCGTTAAAACTTTTAATGAAAAGAAGTGTCTAAAATTTTTTTTGCATTTATCGTTAGGTTAAAGGGATACTTGTATTTAAAGATTTTATACCTTGGCACAAGATTTCCAGCTTGTCGATTTATGTTGAAACTGTAAATGGTGGATCCTATCAACACAGCTACTAGGCCACCGATTAATCCGACCCAAGCTTGGAGTTTCTTTCCACTGAACACCCAGATCAAGACTAAAGGTGACACGACGTACAACTGGAAGTCTATGGCCATGTACCAGGAATGTGCGATACACTAAAACAATAAAAGAAAATGTAATACAATGTACTCCCAAACCATCACTTTGTGCCAATCCGAAGTTATGTGCGATCGTAAATTTCATCACGCCACCTATTTTATGAAAGTTGAAACTACGTTCATGTAGTATGACAGTCTTTTGATGACTGTAGCGGATGGGACTGATGGTCTCATGCTAAAACACTGGACGAAGACGCAAGTGTTGTCTACAAATCGTGCCCAGAAATAGTGCGAGTTGTGCTTATTATATTGTATTGTATTATTATATTATTTATGATAAATTATTTGAATTGTATATGATTATATGTATGTATTACTACTAATTTGTACGTTGTGTGTGTCTTTACTAACCATATGGATTGTATTATCTGAATAAATAAATTGATTGATTGATTTATACATTAATTTTGCTACATACATGCATTTCGTCAAATCTGTCTCCAATTTGGTTAGATAGAGGTAATAGAAAAGCAAATGACATATAAATTAAAACTAGATAGATTAGGATAGGTTAAATAAGACTGCTAATAGACATCAACTTACCATATTTCGTACATGAACAAAGTTTTGAACATGAAGCAGGGTGGACCACCAATGGTCCCTGCATCTCTCAGTGTGTGCAATGACAGTGTTCCAGTGAGGTCCATCGTACCACTGATTCAGGAATGAAGCTTGAACAAGTACAAGAGCAGCCAGCAACGGCGTCACCCGTATATAACGGCCCAAGTAGAACCAGTGGAGATTCTTTAGGAATGTCACTGCAAAGGAAAAGATGTCATAAATTATAATGCCACTTCTTAGGGATCATATTGATTAATTTAGCAGAGGAAGAATTCCAAAAATATCTTATCAAGCTCAGATTATAGTCCTTTTCAAGATTATCAACTATTATCAATTGTAGATTATATATTTTTTAAATTGAGATCATTATTACAAAACATTAAAATCGGTGTCCATTTTTCAAGGTCAACCGAATTTCATAACAGTTTTGCTTTGATCGATATAATCGAACGATATCTTTGAAATCATTGTTTATCTTTTGAGAAAAAATAAAAATTTCTAATTAAAATATAGATAGTTCGAAGTCAACTTACTTTGATTCATTTTTGCTGCTGTAGTGTAGACTAGAAGTACTCCTGCGACCGTGAAGAATGTGTCTACAGTCATTGTGGCTGCAGTTATCCATAATGCTTCAGCAGAAAACATCCACTGTAATCCAAATAAATATTTTTTAATCAATTTCCTGTTTTCACTTACCGTAATTACATAAAGCTGCAATTGAATTCTCGAAGATCTGTTATTTCTATTCAATCTCATGCACGTGTAATTATCGAAAATAAGTTTCGTAATCTTATATTGTTTAATGCAGATTTAGTATTTATCTACAACTTGAAATAAGGACAAGCAAAGGAAACAATATTCATTATAGACCAACTATGTTTTATAATAACTATCGTAAGACGTATTAAATTAACTAATAATCGCGGGCTACACACGTGAAAATACTGAGAAAAGCTCTACTAGTAGTAGATTGCGCGACATCGCCACGACCGCGCACGCTGCCCATGAGGTAGAACTCCTCTGTGGTTCGAAACTAGTAGAACGCGATTTTTAGTTAAAAACTAACTAAAGAATAGCAGGTACTTACACTTTGCGAATCAGCAGGGTTTGCAATGAATGTTTCCGTACTAAACGTGTGCCCTACAATTACCCACAACATGGCGAGAGTCCTGATCCCGTCTATACATTGCAAGTTCCCTCCACTGGAACTAAATGTTGTCAGTCGTTGTCCATTTGTGTAAAAAGAAAATGATCGTCCGAGTGTACTCATTTGTTTGACATCTGTTGATAAAATAAAAAAAAAATACTTTAAGACAAATTAAAACTACTCTGACCGACTAAAACTTGGCGTCTTATTTGACGTTTAGAAGTGCCTTCTTGGTCTGACTGCACAGTTGGCGCGGTAGCTGGGCGACCGGCTGCCACGTAACGTGCAGTGGGTTCAATTCCCAAATTGTTGTTTCGGGTCTGGGTGTCATGTGTATGTGAACTTGTATGTTTGTTGAAAAAATCCTAGTGTGGGGCAACGGTTTTGACTTTGACTTTTACAGGCAGGTGAATATATTTAAATAATAAATATATCAAAATAATACTAAAAGAAATGATAAAATAATAGTAATTTCCACTCACCTCTCTTCAGTATAAAACGATAGCAAACGTCGTAGCTTGTGCTTATTATAGCTACAAATCCTATTACGGAAAATATTACTCTGAAAAGGAAAAAGTTGGTTTTAATATAAAATATTTATCAAATAATGTGCTGAGGACTGAGTTGAATTTGCAGTTGTTACTAGGAAATTGTGAGCAGTTTATTTTACTTATGTATATATCTACACATATGTAAGTGGTCTTACAAGTAAACTGTACATAATATATTTACACTTTACATGATATACTAGTACATGATATATTTAATATCGAGACTTTAATATAATAATTAACCATTACTAGTATCACATCCCCTAAAAATAATTTCTAATAATGTCACATTTCCGTAGCAAAATCGATAAAAACTAAACTAAAATAGAAGAATCCTTTACCTATCTTAATACGCAAACCGGAATTTAGACAAGAGTCTATTGCGTATTAACAGATTAGGTGTATTATGTTATAAAACAATATTTTTCTCTATTTGATAAGAACTCAACTATTAATAGACGATAAGAATTAAATGATAGATATCATAACTATTATAACAATATTGAATTTACTTACACGGCAGCTGTATCTGCGGGGGACCACGGTTTGTCATTAGAAATACGACAATAATGTTCTGTGTAACGAAATCCCACGGTTGTGACATTGAAGAGTAATGAAGATATAGCTTGCTGAGTCGTGCACGGTTTTGGGATGCATACAGCTAGTCGGAACGTCATCCATATAAGAGGGTTTGGGGGAGTCGTCCTGGAAATATTAAATTGCTTGAAACACACAATCTTAACCGATCCAAAATTTGTAAAAATCTAACTAGACATAACATAACATCACGCCTTTTATCCCCGAAGGTGGCAGAGGTGCACATTTACCACTGTACAATGTAACACCCATTTTTCACTATTTATGTTATGAGTACCATGTAATAGGGGGTGAGCCTATTGCCATATACCGGGCACATTTCCAGTCCAGACTCCGTGCTACTATTGAGATTTTTAAAAACCCAGTAATACTTTGCCCGACCCGGGAATCGAACCCGAGACCCCTTGTCCGGCAGTAGTACTTGCGACCACTCGGCCAGCGAGGCAGTCTAATCTAACTAGATTAGTCTATAATTTATTTTAAAATGCCAGGAATAGTAAGTAAGGTAATATTAAGGAAAATAAAATATCATGTCACAGTATCACAGTTAAACAGTTCATTGACACTTACCTGGTGTCATCTTCAAATTCTTCAAAGTTTCCACTCAAGAGCTGTAATTCACTTCTTGTTTTATAGTATTGTTCTATCAACCTCATAGTATCGTTGTCTACTTGGAGAGAGTACGGATCAAATTGTGAGTTTATAGTGTCTCGTGGGCGAGGAAGGTGTAGCGTCTGATTGACTGGAACCAGAATCGAGCAGTATTTGCCCTCAATATGCATGTCTTCCAGTTGATGGTCAATGCCCAAACATTGGTGGTAGTTTCCCATATCAACTGAATTTCCAGTTAACACACCTCTTGGTGTTCTTATACCAGCGTCAGCAACTGTAAATAGAATTTTATAATATGATTCGAAAATGCTTAGTTTAAAAGGTATTTTCAGACGATTTGAGTAACAGGGAATGCTTAAAATAAAATTAAAGTTATATTGCGGGAATTCTACCTATAGATCTTATAGTTAAAACGAAGTTACTTAAGTCCTTTAATAAATAATAAATAATGAACTCATTATGAACTTACATTGGAGCATCAACATGGAGTTTCTTCTTATAGTCCTTATTTGGCGACGACATTCTTCTGCATCTATTACACTCTCATACAGATTTGAGTCAACTGCTGGAGTCTTTCTTTCAATCCCATTATGACCCAACACGAAATATGTGCTCAGAAATAAAATTAATATTTGCACTTTAAGTGCCATTTTTGCACTTTTTAAATCTATTTTTGTAAGTCCAGCAGGCTGGCTTGGGTGGCGAAATGCAAATAAGTAATTAATCGAGAAGATATTTTATTTTATGTTACTTAATGAATTATCTAATCTAACGTTTGATTATTTAATATTATAATCCGACAACGTAAGTGTGTCGTTAAATCTTCAAATTATTGATATGGTTGCGGAAAAAGATTTGCACTAACGTACCTACTTGAATGCTTAGCTTAAGATTAGGATACCTTTAGTAAACATGTATAAATTATTGACTTAGTGTTATACCCGGATGTGAATCCGGGTCTATGTTTTAATTATATGGGTACTACCAACAATAGTATAATAAAGCATGACTATTTTTAATAATTTAAGTACACTTTAGATATCCGAGCGTATGGCGCGTTGCGATCCGCGCGCGCCTCAAGGAGCCATCAGACCACGACAGATGGGGCTCAATAGGGCTGAAGCCGATACGGAGCTGTGGAAGGCTTATCGGGTTACCGGGGCTCCGGCTTGAAGTGTAGAAGTAGGAACGGGGTGGTTTTTAGTCAGTAAGAGACAAGTGAGAGACGGGTGAGGCAAGAAGGCATCTGACACATGCTTTCTTGCCTCACCCGGGCGAGAGAAGTCAAATTCACTTTAGATTGAATTTTATTTGAAATTGCTACTGTTGTGTAAATTTTATCCACCGAGACTAATACTCCAAGTGTCAATGGTTTCGCAATCTTATGTACCTACTTAAAATGTTCATAGGCTTTTTTACGCATATCCTACTCTGCATCAATATGAACAGTTTGTGGTAATTTATCCATACTTATAATCAGACTTTTAATTCTTTTTTTGACTTTTGATCATAAACATTTTTGGTGAATTAGCTATTTATAAAATATCATCATTTGGAATATTTGTTAAAATATATTTTTGTTTTGCGGATAGTGTGTTGCCTCATTAACAAATTAATTCGACTTCTTAAATACCTACTTAGATAAAAAATAAGTATTATTAAATTACTGATTGATTACACAATCTTTATACTTATTACTGTGTGAATTTTTCTTCACAGTATTTTTTTTAAGGGGGGAAAATCATCGAATGACTGCTCCCGCCTGGGTGAGGCGGAAGGGAGTGTCAGACTTCTACTGACTAAAAACCACCCCGTTCCTTCTCCTGCACGTCGAGCCGGAGCCCCGGTTACCCGTTAGGTTCTCCGCGACTTCTTCACTGGATTAGAATACTCTCATTCTTTTGTAATGGTTATGAACTAGATGGTGATATGAATGATATCAATTAGATACAAGAGAATACTGCTATTTTACAATTAAAACCTATAGTGGCTTTAATTAGTAAGATTATCTTATACTTACTTAGTGGAATTAACCTGTAGTAACTTTAATTAACCTATTAATAATAAAAGTATTCAGTAATTTTTTTAAATCTCAGTTGGAAGTAAATAAAAGTATAAAAATATACATGAGGTAAAGAATGGTTCGTTCCAAAAGTATTTGTGGTAATTTTTACATGTCGACAAAGAACTATGTATGAAACAAAAAGGAAGCTGACGTTTTTGTTCCGTAATGATGACCAAAAATACATAATATGAAAAGCGTAGCTGCCGTTACCACAACAATGACCCAATCTGTGATTTTTGATAAGATTTCCAAAAAATACAGTTGGAACACATGTTAAGTGATTAAGTTGATAAAATGCATTAAGTATTTTGGATAAACTTTATCATAGTAATCAAGTTAAGCCACAGGTCAATGATAACGTCTTAGAACTGCACGTGGTGCACAAAAATTCCATACGGCGTATTTCCAAAAAAATATATACAAGGATAAGAACAGGAAGACTGTTACAAAACTATTACTAAACTTATTTGCAAAGAGCTTAATATTTATTTATTGAATAGGGGGCAAACGAGCAGTTGGATCACCTGATGGTAAGCGATTATCATCGCCAATGGACACTCGCAACACCAGAGGAACCACAAGCGCATTAACGGCCTTTTCAAAAGGAATACGCTCCTACTATATATATACAACGGAAAACTTTGTAGTCCTATTAAGGAAATCATACGGATTGTTTGATTCAATTAGGTGGGTGACAGTGTGCAAATCTTTCACATTGTCATGTATATATCCATTATTGATTAGAGAGAGAAATTAAAATTCATTTACACATGGTGATATTATAATCATCACTCGGCAAATACCTTTTCGCACACGGAGAAAGAGTGAGCATTTGTCACCATGCTTGTTAAACGCCGATCGGCGACTTGAACACGTGTCATTAAGGATGGTCGCCTAATTATAGTGCAATGCCTATATCTTTATCAACAGCCTATAAATGCCCACTGCTGAGCAAAGCCTCTTCTCACACGGAGATGGTTTGTGCATTAATCACCGCGCTTGCTCGATGCGGGTTGGTGATTTCAAACTTATAATTAGAAATTATAAGCCCAGGTTTTCTCACGACGTTTTCCTTCACCGTTCATCAGTAGTGTCTAAATAATCTTAGAACGTACATATATCTCGGAACAAGTCACATTGGTACTTGCCGTTGGTAGGTTTCGAAACCGCAGCCTCATGTATGAGAACTGGGCGTCTTAAACCTCCGGTCACGCAACACCATGCCTATATATATTACTATATTATTTTCTTGTCACAATATGTTGTTGACGTATTGAGAACAAACCATGAATAGCTTACTATTTACAATTGTTAAATTGTGAAATAAAACCCACTAGAATATTTCATAATTGATATATTTCTAATCACTCAACTTCACACGCTCTCATCATACCTAGTTACATACATTGATTAAATAATATCACATTCATTCAACATTGGATTACAATTCATTAATATTAAAGATATAGTTATCTACCTACCTAACAATATTCGACGATAAATCAAGGACAAACCTTACATGTTTATAGATAATGATTGAGATAAAATTTTAAACTGATCTAATGAAAACGATAGATTTTAATTACGTAATCAGCGCTACTGATTGTCTGTTTTTGCAATGATATGATTTGTAATATCATCCGTTCTATCGCAGAGATTACTGACAATTCCATAATAATTATCTAGCTACATTGTTTGGGCTAGTATTGGCTCCATTCTCATTTATTACTGCTATATTTTCATTGGTATCGCCTCCCTCTTTATTAATTTCAACAATAGTGATAGATTTTTCTGGAATTTGGTTTGTGTTTGAGCTACTGCCCCTGGCTTCGTTTACATTATTATCAATTTTATCTTCAATGGAAGGTTTTGTGACATGTGGACTATCACTAATATTATTTTTATCAAGTTGTTTCTCTTCGTTAAGTTTCTTAGTAGGTTTTCCTTTTGTCACTGTAAAAAATATATGGTTTATCAATATTGAACCTTATTTCGTAATACCAAGTAAGTCTTAATCAAAATTAAAAATAGTATATTACCAGAATCAGTCAGCATTTTGAAGAGAACTGTTATAGGAGAGTCGATAAGTAGAATGAAGAAGAAAGAAACTGCCACAGAGAGCGCCACATATGCCATGAACTTAAATACCTGTAAAATAAAACATTGAAATTTGGTAAATTTGTAAAACAATCGTAGTGTAAGAAAATTCAAATTATAATATGGGAGTACTTACCAAATTGCCAACTGAAAAGTAGAACGGGGCCACTGCAGAACCATTGATAGAAAACATCAAAGGATAGTGGAATAAGTACATCGCATAGGACAAGCGTGCCGGTAGTCTCCATTCATCAAGTGATAAGAACCAATTTATAGGACCTGTAAATAAGAAACTATATAATAAAACTTTTTACTTCCAGAGTTAGATAATGCATTTATATAGAAGTTTATTATCATACCGGAATATCCATGAACGCAAGCAATGATCAACCAACAGATTGCAATTGCGTAAGTAGGTCTCATGAATGAGTTCATCAAGTTGTCAATTAATTGATTATCCCAATCAAACTGCTTGATTCTATATTTGAAGTAGAAGATACCTCCCAATATTCCGGCAAAGCATGCCCAAAAGAAGATGGCTACAAACTGAAAAAAGATGATTTAAGTCAGAAAATCTACCACAAAAATCTATTAAAAATTACGTATTTTTTTCATATTTTGAAACTTAAATTTTAGGTAGGTATGGCTAATTACTTTTGGAACTTACCCAATGAATCTGTATTCTACTTTTGCGATAGAGGTGCAGAATGTACCCACAAATCATTCCGACAAAGAATGGAGAGGCTCGTGTCAAAGTATTAAAGTAATACTCAAACATGTAGTCCATCATTTCTGGAAAACGACTGAAACGTAGAAGGAACTTTAATATAGTAATTTATTTGGTCGTTATATGGTTGCATTTTATGTGGAGTAAACTAGGAACTATAATCAATTCTAACTGGTTTCTTACCTAGGCACTAAATTTCCAGCTTGCCTATTTATACTGAAGCTGTAAATTGTGGATCCTATTAATATAGCTATTAGACTGCCAATCAGTGCGATCCAAGAATGTAGTTTCTTTCCACTGAAGACCCAGAATAGAACTAATGGTGATACGAGGTACAACTGGAAGTCTATGGCCATGTACCAGGAATGGGGAATACACTAGAACAAAAACATTCGGATATTAGATACAGGTTTTTAAGAAAATCCTTTATGTTTTCATATTATAAGTCACTAGCGCCTGCCAGCAGATTCGCTCGTGTTTCCGAGCCTATGTGTTATTTCAGTTAGTAATCTACCCTTGTACCAAATTTCATCTCGATCTCTTTAGCCGTTTGACGTAAAAGAGTTACAAACATACAGGAAAATATACAAACTTTCGCATTTATAAATATGAGTAAGATGTAGACGAAGCGTGGGCAGGTCTCGCGCTAAGTAGATCAACGACATCCCCAGAGTAGTAGGAAGCCAGAGGATGCAGGTGGTAAGTTGTCGTTTGACTTGGAGGGCTAAGGGGGCCTTTGTTCAGCAGTGGACTTCTTCCAGCTGTTGATGATGATGATGCTGATGAAGATGTAGACATTTTCCTTCATGAACTTACCATGTTCCTTAAATGTACAAAATTTTGAATGTGAAGTATGGTAGACCACCAATTGTTCCTACATCTTTGTGTTTGGTCTATTACTGTATTCCAGTGAGGTCCATCAGTAAATTGGTTAAGGTATGATGCTTGAAGAAGTACTAGAGCAGCCAGCAATGGTGTCACACGTACATAACGGTTCAAGTAGAACCAGTGGAGATTTTTGAGGAATGTCACTATAAAAGAAATTATTATATTGTAATGACATGTCTATTTATATTCCTTTTATAGTGCTTTTATAATATGATAATTATCTGTTTAAAAATCATTTTAACCGTTTTGATTCGAGCTTGAATGGTGCTATCTTGATATTGTAGTTCAGTATTAGCCGTAGGGGAAAGTCCCGTTACGCCGGACACTTGTATTATCTCGATAACTAATAACGCGATCGATTCAATATTTATGGGGATGTCTTCCAGTGGGAGACACCTAAGATTTTAAGTAAAAATTCAATCGCTCGTGTTATCAGTTATCGAGATAATAAGTGTCCGGCGTTAGGCGCCGTCTGGCCTTACGGGACTTTCCCATATACAATATTTTATATTTAATTTAGACATCATTGATTCTAAAGTATTCCCTGATTATATTCCAGGATTTCGACCAGCTTAACTTTAGTCTTGATATAAACTTAATTTGGATTTTCTGTTCTTACTTACTTTGTTTCATTTTAGCTGCGGTTGTGTAGACCAATAGCACACCTCCAATTGTAAAGAATGTGTCAACTGTCATAGTGGCTGCTGTAATCCACAAAGCTTCAGCAGAAAACATCCACTGTAATACAAATGATAATAAATTGTTGAATCAATCTCAAATGTCAGTCAGCTTGATTAAGTAATATTAGTTTTTAATTCATGAATGGTAAGGGACTTTTTTAATATCTAATGTTATCTATTGCTTTGTATACCTAATATCTATGACGTTAATTGTTTAATGATAGATAAAATATGAAATCTAATTTGTAATTACTATATCTAACCAAAATAAAAAACTGCTTCATTGGCCGACTGGTCGCAAGTGCGACTGCCGGGCAAGGAGTCTTGGGTTCGATTCCCGGGTCGGGCAAAGTATTACTAGGTTTTTTATATATTCTCATTAGTAGCACAGAGTCAGGAATTGTGCCCGGTATATGGCAATAGGCTCACCCCCTATTACATAACATAAATAGTGAAAAGTGGGTGTTACATTGTACAGTGGCATAATGTTCACCTCTGCCTACCCCTTCGGGGATAAAAGACGTGATGTTATGTTATGTTATGTTGAAATATGAAATCTAATTTGTTATTACTATTTCCAATCAATATAAAAACGGTTTTTTATTACATTTATTTTGCCACTTATGACTATGAGCCAAGCCAAATAGTCAAGATACCTTGTCAAAATAAAACGCGTGAAAAGTTACGCGTGTGCGTGTGCGTGTGCGTGTATGCGTATATATGTATACATATACCATAATACATAATTAATAGATAGAACTGTTTTAAAATGTATAAATAAAATAAAATTTACTTACACTTTGCGAATCAGCAGGGTTTGCTGTGAAGACTTCCGTACTGAACGTGTGCCCTACAATTACCCACAACATGGCGAGAGTCCTGATCCCGTCTATACATTGCAAGTTCCCTCCACTGGAACTAAATGTCGTCAGTCGTTGTCCATTTGTGTAAAACGAAAATGATCGTCCGATTGTACTTATTTGCTTGACATCTGCCGATTTGAATTATTTTATGCACATTAATTATACACTTTTCAGATATTTTAAAACATGCGATAATTTGTAAGTAGATAAACATGACTTGATTAAATTCTTTATTGTATATATATATATTGCATAATTTATGAAAAGTATTGCGACGGAACTGAAAAAATACTTTATTATAAGGACGTAAAGTTAATTTTCACTCACCTTTCTTGAACACGAATCGATAACAAATATCATAGCTTGTGCTTATTATAGTCACAAAACCCAGAATAGAAAAGATTATTCTGAAAAGAAAAAATACAGAACAATTAACATTTGATTCATTAAAACAATGAATGAAGTTCATGATTGTTACAAAGTAAAGATTACTTTATCAGTTTTTTTCGAAAAGTTGTCTTTTTTGCTGCCTCGTTGGCAGAGTGGACGCGAGTGCGGCTGCTGGGCAAGGGATCTCGGGTTTGATTCCCGGGCCGGGCAAAGTATTACTGGGTTTTTAAGAAAAAATCTTAGTAGTTTAAAACGGAGACTGGAATTGAGCCCGGTATATGGTAACAGGCTCAACCCCTATTACATGGAACTCGTAATATAAATAGTAAAAAGTGGGTGTTCCATTGTACAGTAGCATAAGGCGTAATGTTATGTTATATATTTATGTACTCTTTTTTATTTACGGTAATAACAATACAAATCTCAATTAGATTAACAGGGTGGTATTTTTCCTCACTCTTAATCGTATAGGGCGGCATTTTGTCATCACCTTCTTTAAGAAAACTGATGGCTTTACATGGTGTTTGAAGCTAAAAATGGTGTTCATAACTTTAAGCTAAAATTGTTATCTTATCTTAAGATACGAAAATCTTAATTATATCCGTCCGAAAGCCAGATGTTTTTAATTTTTGATTAGATTTGTTAGTACCTATATTTATAGGATTATGTTGATTTAAACTGGATTATTACTTACATAGCGGCATAATCAGCGGGAGACCAAGGTTTGTCATTGGAAAGGCGACAATAATCTTCAGTGTATTTAAATCCAACAGCTGACACGTTAAAAAAGAGGGATGAAATTGCTTGTTCAGTAGTACATGGTTTTGGTATACACACCGCTAGTCTGAATACCATCCAAATGAGCGGATTTGGAGGAGTCGTTCTGGAAAAAAGTATAAGATACAAATGAATTATCCTAACTTAAGTGTGGGAGAGCCATGCTTCGGCACGAATGGGCCGGCTCGACCGGAGTGACACCACCGCCTCACAGAGAACTGATGTGAAACAACGCTTGCGTTGTGTTTCGTCGTGTGAGTGACGTTACCGGAGGATCAATTACACTCTCCGCAATCTCTGAATTCTCAACAATCCTCAAATTCCTGTTCCCCAAAAGGCCGGTGAAGCACTTGTAACGCCTCTGGTGTTCTAGGCGTCCATGGGCGACGACGATTGCTTACCATCAGGTGATCCGTCTGCTCGTTTACCGATTTATCCCATAAAAAAGGATTATAGGTAAATACCGAAGTAAGTTTAGGCACTGTTGACGTTGTGTCTATTAAACTAATCTACTTAATATTTTGCATTTAATGTATAGTTGGGCAAAATATTCTAAGGATAAATTTTATTATAAATTCATGTAGCAATACCAAAATTTGTTTAAAATATAGCTCTAAATTCTGCTAGTTAATGGTCGTCTGATGAACTTAATCTTAATGTATCCATATTTCAACCTTTAACTCGTTTTAGCTGGCTGGTGGAGGTCATAGATTAGAAAATATATTATAACATTGCAATATAGACCTTGTGTAGTTCTAAATAGGTACTTGGTTTAAATATTTTTGCTCTTGCTTTTGAATTGTTTGATTTTATGTAGACACAAGTAGTATTAAGTATTTCGCTTTAGTAAGAAAGTTTTAATGAGCGTATTGTTTAAAAACTAGTAATATTATATTCAATAGGTTCACCCTCTATTAGATGGGACTCATAACATAAATAGTGAAAAGTGGGTGTTACATTGTACAGTGGCATTAAGTGCCGTAATATGCACCTCTGCCTACCCCTTCGGTGATAAAAGGCGTGATGTGTTATTTAATATTAAATTTTGGAACGATTACATTTTTAAATTGAGTATGAGACGACTCTAATTTCAATATTTTTTCATAAGTGCCATCCCTAGCTCGTTTTGTATAGTATTACAAAAATATGTTAACAACTTATTAACAACAAATATGTTCACTAACATTATTATGATTTTCCTATTTTGCCGAAGCTCACGTCAAGTTAGAGGTGGTCACGTCACCATGTAACTACACCACCAAGTGGTAGCATTACAATGAGGTTAAATATTTTTTTTTGTTTTATGGGATAAGCCGGTAAACGAGCAGACGGATCACCTGATGGTAAGCAATCGGCGTCGCTCATGGACATCTGGAACACCAGAGGCGTTACAAGTGCGTTACCAGTTTTCTGGATTAGGAATTTGAGGATTGTTGGGGATTCAGGGATTGGAGAAAGGGAGGGGGAGGGGTAATTAAGCCTCCTGTAACCTCACTCATACGACGAAACACAACACAACGTTGTTTCACGTCGGTCTTCTGTGAGGCCGTGGTATCACTCCGGTCGAGCCGGCCCATTCATGTCGAAGCATGGCTCTCCCACACTTAATATAATGGTCACATGGACATATAAAAAAGGAAAATTCAATTGGAATATTAAGTTGTCCAGTTTTGGGAGTGGTTACACGAAATTAAGTGATAAAATTCTGAGATTGATTGATTGATGTTAAATGTCGGCACAAAATCTTTGAGTAATTGATAAATCATTTTTTATTTGATAAAATTTACGTACGTTTGAGGCCACTCTTTAATAGTTTGGGCGTCGATAAGTAATAAAAAAATATGATTGAATGAAAAATCATTTTCAGCCTTACCTTGTGTTATCGTTAAGTCCATCAAAGTTTCCACTTAACATTTGTAATTTACTACGACTTTTATAGTATTCTTCTATTAAACTCAAAGTTTCATTGTCGACTTGTAAAGAGTTGAAATCAAAATTAAAGTGTGTGCTCATAGTATCTTGAGGGCGAGGTAAGTGTAGCGTCTGGTTTACAGGAACCAGAATCGAGCAGTATTTGCCCTCAATATGCATATCTTCTAGTTGATGGTCAATACCCAAACATTGGTGGTAGTTTCCCATATCAACTGAATTTCCTGTTAACACACCTCTTGGTGTTCTTATACCAGCGTCAGCAACTGTAAAATAAGGTTCAAAATAAGATTTGTGTTTAAAGAGGTTCTAACAAGATTCAAATACCTCTGATTTTAAGTGGTTTACCTTTACAAATATCGTATACGTGTATCAAGCAATTCAAATAATAAGATAAACCTGAATAGAAATAAAATAAATTGACCTTTTGGGGTCTTAAGAAAAGGTCAGATCTAATTCTATTTTAAGGAGAGGAAATCTTAGCATGTGGATCTGACCCGCACTTAGAGAGATTCTATTGAAATGGACATTTGAAAGACATGGCCTGTATGTATGTACGAGACTTTTTATATACTATACAATTATAAAAAAAAATAAATTATACAGTATTTCTCATTAGGGATGATGACAGGGTATGAAAATAAAAATCTAATTAGTCCGTAAGTTAGGTAATGAAAAAAAATTAGACACGTACTTTTTTTTAAATTGTCGTATAAAAAAACAATACTTAGATAAAACGAATCAAATTTTTAGAGCGGGGACTAAAACGTCATTTCTACGTATAAAATATACATAGAAGTGACGTCACGCGATATGTCTAATCAATATATCGTCGAAAGTATTTGTTTCTGTAAGAAAATAAAAATACGTGTCTAATAATTTGAAATAATCTACCAGATGGATATTAAAATAAAAATTAGGCAACTACCCAATACAGAATATATACAATACAGAGTATTAAAGGAACACTTCCAAAACACAAAGACAAGACAAGTACAAAATGAAAATTGTTTTAAAAAAAGTAAGGAACTAAATGTGTATTTTACGTAATAATAGTTGTAATCAACGATAATGCTGATGTTACAAGTATAACACAAAAACAAAATCAATTAAAATTGAATAAATAAATTAATTGTGTGCGTTTACACAAACGTTTCACTTACACCCTGTATTTATCAGTTGATTTTTGTGAATAATAAAAATAATAAACTTACATTGAAGCATTAACATAGCGTTTCTTCTTATAGTTCTTATTTGACGCGTGCATTCTTCTGCATCCAATACACTTTCAAGCAAATTAGAATCAACTGCTCCTGGCTTTCTTTCTATTCCAGTTGCACTGAACACAATAGGAGTGCATAAAAACAAAACAAATATTTTAAGTAACATTTTTACACTTTATTAAAATACTAAGCTTAGGTTCAGCAGCATTTGCTGCGAAATGCAAATAAGCAAAAAACTAAGAAGAATTCCCGTTATATGTAATTAGTTGTAGTATATCTAATCTCATGATCGATTATTCAATATTTCAATCCAAGCCACAACATAATAATTGTGTATCTTTAAGATTACAGATAAAACTGCGGAAAGAGTATTTAATTGCTTACGCACAAAATTGGATAAGTATAATACTTATAGATAAAGCCAAGGATAGGTACACTAAGAGGACAAATGTCCCAAGATTTTATACTTTCATTCTAATGTAGACAATCTTGTTTCCTAATGGCATCGAGCATTTCTTTCTTTATTGAAACAAATAGTTTCCTTTTTCTTGTATAGAAGCACTATTTTTATGGATTGTCAGTATGCATATGTGAGCACCGTGTTATACTATAAGATTTGTTTTTTTTTAGTAAGTTTTGTAATTAGTATAATGCATCAAGCGTGTCTTTGCATTATTCTCACATATACATACAGTATTGGAATATGTATCAGAGACATTGTAGAACATATTTTTTTAAAAAGAGTAACGAATGAAGTTTCTTGCTCGTTCTTCTCCATTCGAATCTACATTTTGGAATGAGCATCTAGCTTCACCTAGCTTCACTGACAGACTGACTGACAGACTATTATTTATTTTGTATTTGTTGACGTTTCGAAAGTACCAAATTATGGTTTAATTGAAATAAATGCTTTGACTTTGACTTTGAAGACATGCATCGGTGACATGTCGACAGAAGCTGGCCGATGTCGCCTGACATATACGGTGACAACGCGCAACTTGCGTCCACACTGACGTTGATGTTGCCACGACGAAAGTCCAGCAACGTTGCGCTACTTCACCCGATGTCGTTGGCGACACGTGTCGCAGGACATATTTTGTCCGTTAGTGTATCCTTGGCTTAAAGATATAATAAAAGTGTATTTGATACTTTATTTGTCTCGATGGTGGGGAGTCTACGAGAACGATTGCCGAACAATGTACCTAGGCATGTCAAAATTGATTTACGGAGTTGAAGTAAGCGTTCAAATAATCATTTCATGAATTTATAAAATTATGTTGTTACTAACTAATTGAAAAATAATAATTTGTCATTTTACTTACAAAATTACTGATAGGCATTATGTTCGTTAACTTAGTCTTAGGAGACTATCGCCATATCGATCTGGCTGAAACCTAGACTTAAAGCACTGAAAATGAAATATCGAAAACTAAATGATAATGAAGTACCAGTCTTCTTTAAGACCTTGAAAATAGATTTTGTTTATTCAGCTTGATGTTGCTAATTATTTATCTCGATATTTTTCTATTTTTATCAAGTCATCAATTAAAAACATCATAGTGATTTTTGTTTTATTTTAAATCGATGTTCCGTAATAGACTTGATAAATATCCTACGCAATTAATGTAGAGTATCTTCAGATAATCGTTTAATGGTCGAAATAAGGCATAGGTACGATAATTATTAGCCACAAGACGACCACTGGTGAACATATACTTTCCCCAAAGACTTCCAGATTGGCATTGGAAGAATTTTGTATCCAACGGCTAGATTTTATCAATTCTTCATTATAATATTTCTACATCAATGATTATTAACACTTTACTAATTTCCTCTACACAGGAAGGCTAGCCATAATTACCAAGCGTGATAAAGCTAACAAAACATGCACACCTGTTCATTAAATATAATATTATTTCCATAAAAGATTTCCCCCAATATCTAATCAGAAATCTTAGACGTATGAGGTGGAAATTATCAACAAAAATCCGATTACAGTGATTTAATTCCATTGCTAGGTGTGGGTAGGAATTTATACTATTATTATTAGATACTAAAACAACGACTGTCTCCTTAGCCGAGTGATCGCAAATGCGACTGACGAGCAAGGGGTTCGATTCCCGGGCTTGGCAAAGTATTACTCAGGTTTTTAAAAGTAGTTAGTAATCTCAAAAGTAGCACGGAGTCTGGAATTGTGCTCGGTATATGGCAGTAGACTAGACATCACTCATTACGTCACTCATGGCATCACTCATTACAGACTCATAACAGAAATAGTGAATAGTGGTTGTTACCTCGTACAGTGGCATCAAGTACCATAATATGCATCTCTGCCTACCTCTTCAGGGATAAAAGGCGTGATGCTATATTATGTAAAACTGCGACAATTTCGCAAAAATATAAAAACAAGAAGAATGAGTCTAGCGTATCAGCGCGCCGCCACAGATGGAGGAAAGTGCGCGTGAATCACGGCAGAGAGCGCATTGGGTCCACACCACAGCTGACCCAAGCAGCCAGTCGCCGCGTCGCGGGTCGCGGAATGCTGCTCATGAATATGAGCCTCTAGCATGACTTGAAACTAGTCGAGTTCCTCGTCAAACAGTTGCGTGAATAAGCCGTAAACATAATAATTTAGAATGAAATTAAATTTTAAAATGAACTATGTTTTTAATACGACATAATATGAAAGAATACCAGTCATGTGTTTGTAAACATACATATATGTTTTCATTTTCAATTAGACCTAAATGTACCTTTCAATTAACACGGACCGGCAATTGGAGGTGGATATCGGTACAGTCGGGGCATAAAGTGTAAAGAATCAAGAAGAAATGTTGTCATATAAATTCACATTAATATCGACTGACAATAATCTTGTTGTTAATACAATATTTTATGACGTGGTACGGCAGAAGGAATAAATAAGATCTTTCGTAAGTAAGGTTACCTGAGGTATGTACAATCTTCTACCTATCCATAAGACCGGCAATACACTACTCTGATGCTACCGGGTTTCTATAGACAGAGCCGAATGTAAGCAAATTCAGGTTATCCATCTTCTCCTTTGCCACTCTATAAAAATATATACCAACCGAGCTTTCTGTAGGAAGAGTTACACATTGCTTGATACAAATTCATGTTAATAAATATTGATAACAATGGATCATTAAAATATACACCCATAACTATCAAACGACTGCATCGAATTGGATCATTTTTTGTCGTGTTCCTTATCGTCAGGACAAAGTTTGTATAAAAGAAAGATTCGATACATTCATCGGGAACATTGGGAAATAGCTCCCTAACGAAACTGGGGCGGGCCGCTAGTGTTAAATAAATATAATAACACCATATTTGAACAATACTAGGATTAGAATATTCCATAACAATGTAATAATTGTGACACATCATTAATAACTAACACGCTTCAATTAGCGATATAATTAATCTTGTTTATGCAATTAAATTACCTAATTGTATAATGTGCAGTTACAAGAGCGGTGTAACAATATTGAAATAGACTAGTAATTAATGGTAAGCTTAGGCTAAACACGTGAAACAAACTCTTGCGTTGTATTTCGTCGTGTGAATGAGGTTACCCAATCTCCTCCCTCCCTAGTCTCCCGAATCCCCGAATCCTCCACAATCCTCAAATTCCCAATTCCCAAAAGGCCAGTAACGCACTTGTAACGCCTCGGTGTTTCGGGTGTCCATGGGCGGCGCCGATTGCATACCATCAGGTGATCCGTCTGCTCGTTTACTGGCTTATGCTATAAAAAAACAGTCATTAGGTAGTTGTGTCTTTAGATACTCTTGGAAGAATCTTTTTCATATCACATCTTATGTAAATTAGCTGACTTATTGGGTTACAATATATTTTATTTTCGTTGTGTGATTGAGGTTATCGAATCCCCAACAATGCTCAAATTCCTAATCCCCAAAAGGCCGGTAACGCACTTGTAACACTTTGGTGTTTCGGGTGTCCTTGGGCGGCGCCGATTGCTTACCATTAGGTGATCCGTCTACTCGTTTACCGGTTTATTCCATAAATATACATATTCTAGAAAAGTTATTGTGGAGATGTAGCACTTAGACGACACATGCCTGATGCCATAATTCAGCAAGAAAAAAATTGTAATCATGTATTAACAATAACATGAAAAAATCCTAACAATACATATATTTTTTCGTTCTAATAGAACCATTTCGAAATAAATCTAATAACAATTAACATTTCCTTATTTACAATACAAACACAAAATCTTAATGGGAACCGAAAATTCATTTAAAGGAAAGAAATAAAACAAATTGTGCTTTTAAAAGATTTCGTTCACGAGCATACTTGCGTTTTTCCTTCGCTTTCCCCATTAATTGGAAATAGGTTAATAGTACTGGAAAAATAATTACTGTAATGGACATGTATTGTGTATTCTTAGTAGTTAAGTTCATGTAGTTATTTTAACAACTTCTTAATATAACTTCGTTATCAATCTTTCATAGGGTTGTTCATAAATTGAAATACTAATGTATACATAACATAACATGACGCCTTTTATTCCCGAAGGGGTAAGCAAAGGTGTACATTATGACACTGTACAATGTAAGGCCCACTTTTCACTATTTATGTAATGAGTCCCATGTAATAGGGGGTGCGCCTATTGCTATACACCGGGCACATTTCCAGACTTCGTGCTACCACTGAGATTTTTACTTTGCCTGACCCGGGACTCGAACCCGACACCCCTTGCCCGGTAGTCGCACTTGCTACCACTCGGCCAATGAGGCAGTCATAGTTAAATGTTCATTATAATAATAGGCTGTATCTTCATATTGTATAACAATCTAAATTTCATGAAAATTATTGATGAAACCTTTGCTCTTTGTAGATTTAAAAATTTAAACAGTGCTATTCTTACAAGAGCTCATAGTTAACTAGTTTTTGTCATTGTTTTTCATTTCATTCAGTCATTTTTATTCATTTTTATTCAGTCGTGTTGGCCCGGAGGTAAGACGCCCGCTTCTCATGCATGAGGGTGCTGGTTCGAAACCTACCGACGGCAAGTACCAATATGACTTTTCCTAGTTGTATGTTCTTTCTAAGATTATTTAGACACCACTGACAAACGGTAAAGGCCACCGGTAACCTCACTTACACGACGAAACACAACGAAAGCGTTGTTTCACGTCGGTCTTCTTTGAAGCCGTGGGACCACTCTGGTCGAGCCGGCCCATTCGTGTCCTTATAGGAATCTCGAAATTCATTCAAAAATATTCAAAGTAGTAGATGTGATTTTGGAAACAAGATTAAAAAAAACATAGGTAAGTTGTATGTGAAATATGTGTAGTGATAAAATCGTGACGGATATCTCCAAGGATAATAAAGTACTGCAAATATTCTTTTAACGTAGTCAACAATATTAGTTAACCTCTATATTAGACGTAGGTACACGATGATGTACTTGAAAACTCGATAAATAAAATAAAATTAAAATTTTATGCATATGACTATTCAACCTGTTATACAGGAGTTCTCACTTTAGCAACCCTACTCGTAGATCAGGGTTGCCACAAGCACGTCCCGTACTGTAGGGCTGTACAAGTAATTACCGCGGCCCGACCTGACTGATGATGATGACACTCGGAACACTTCAGCCTTCAGATAAACAACTGTGTGTAGTGAGATGTAGTCCTTTTTGTACGAAAAATATGTTGAGTCTCATTTAGTTAGCGCACGGAATTTTTACGAAAGGTTTTTTCAGAATTTATTATAATTAGAATGTATCCTGTGATAACCCTGCCGCAAGGAAAATTAGGGATGTGAAAAATGTTATTGTAATATTCGATAAGCGTATGAAAGTGAATTTCTAATTTCAATTGGAGTACCAGTAGTCGTAAAGCTGGTGTTTCAATTTACATGTGACATAAACTTGGGACATAACGGCGAAACATAATTATATTTCGCAATTAAAGTCCATGAGCGTATCTTACTGTCTTACGATATTAAACCAACAAATTGTGATTCAGGCCATACCTATAAATGTAAAGCGTATTATGTTCATGTCGAACATTACTCTTTTTATGTACCAATAAAGTTTTGAGACGCTTATTCGAATTTATTTTGTAGTTTAATTAAATATCGAGTGGCTCTTTTATTGAAGTACGTCCACACCGCAAACATTCGAATGTGGTTTCGAAAATTCGAGCGAATTCGTTTGTGAACTAATTAAAATAAATTCGAAACGAGGGTCCTTGTTCGAATGTCTTCGACAAAGAAACTTTTGAATTCTCGTGCTTTGTACTCGGTTGAACTTACTCGCTTCTTACATGATTGTTCTAACTGCTCGTTTAGACGTACCTACTTCCAACGAGTGTTCGATAATTAATTGAGCGAAACTTAGAATGTTTTATTGATGTTCTTTTCGAGTAGAATTCTTTTTTTATGGTTTTCAAATACCACAACGGTTTTTATCGAAATAATTTATTTTACAATGGTTTGTGAAAGAATGCAGAATTATTATTTATTTTTAATTAAAGAAGAAATATTTTCAATTGATTTCTTATTCCAGTATTGAAAAAGAATAAGAATAACAAGAATAGGCAATATTCGATGATGTTAAATATACAATCGTTTCTGCATTATATGCAGTCACGTAGTTCTCATAATTTCCAGATACTCATCATCAAATTGCACGGAAGGACCTAAGGCTAGAATTGATGAAAACTTGATGAGTCGAGAAAGAATAGATATTCTTCGAGCAGTCGGGCATCCACATGAACGAAACTGTGGCTATACAAACTCTTGTGTAATATCGAGTCCGTTTTCCTTATCACATAAGCAGCTCTGCAGGCGGTTCCGTTACACAGCCCACTGACTGCTCAGCGTGTTCCAAGATCATATAAGAACATCTATAGCATCAAATATATTTTTAGACCCAGGCAAAGCAAACCCCTTCGTTGACCACAACATCGACGCTACAAACGCAGTAGATTAAATACCAATTTGACTGGAGTTTGTTGAAAAACCCGGGAGCTAAAGCTAATAAAATTTTCGTGGTACTAACTCACTCACCGGCTTTGTTTCAAAAAAGATCACAGCCATCGGTCCGGGCTTCGGAGAATTGTCTTTAAACACATCAAGCGTAATAAAAAAGACGATACAAAGCCACAGGCTATGTAAATTTTATTTTAGGAATATACCATAGAAAGGAATATAATTGTATAATTTTAACATAATTATATAACTTTAACATAATTATACAACTTTATACGTACAATAAAAAATGACCCACCCATTCCATAAAATGAAATGTAAAGACCATTCGATTCATTTAATCCCACCCTTACATTGAGAATAGCTTAATTCCTGAATGAGAATTAAACCTTTGAATCATTAATCGGCAAATGAAAACCGGATGAGCAGAGAAGAGAGAAAAAAACCGGTCAAAATAACCGATAATGGTTTGTTCCCGGATTGCGTAATAGTCATTAATTGAAACGTTTTACGTGGCTATCTGTATTACGTGAATGGATTTTTATAGTTGCTGTGTCCAGTAGTAAAGACTCGGCTATAAATACAATACGAGACGAGGTAGTAAAACAAGTCATTATTTTGTTTATTTCATATTGATTATGACGGTCGTAGTTACGATTGATATTATTAAATTCACAAGCTGACGGTTCAGTTAAAAATATACAAACATCCTTTATAATAGCAGCTGTTATTGCGTCTTATAATATTAAGTTTATTAAAGTTCTTAAGTCTATCTCGTTGTTGTTTTCATGAAGATCCGGATTGTTCGTTTTCTATCGTTGGCAATAAAGGGATTTTCACAATAAATTGTTATCGCTCTCAGTTCCACATCCGTATAACCAAGATAGTGTTTTTCAAACATTAACAACACTCAAAGTAACTACACCACTAATTATCGGATGAAGTCACCTATATTGTAACTGCCTCGTTGGCCGAGTGGTCGCAAGTGCGACTGGCCGTGCAAAGGGTCCCGGGTTTGATTCCTGGGACGGGCAAAGTGTTACTGGGTTTTTAAAAATCTCAGTAGTAGCACGTAGTCTGGAAATGGGCCAGGTATATGGCAATAAGCTCACCCCCTATTACGTGGGACTCGTAACATAAATAGTGAAAAGTGGGTGTTACATTATACAGTGGCATTAAGTGCCGAAATGTTCACCTCTGCCTACCCCTTCAGGAATAAAAAGGCGAGATGTTATGTTACGTTATATTGTAATAGGGTAGATGACTAATTTTTTTAATGTCCGTCTGGTAGATTTTATAAATCATTAGACATGTATTTTTTATATTCTTATAGAAACGAATAGTATCGAAGATATATTGATTTGAAATATCGCATGACGTCACTTTTAAGTACTCTAAAATGACGTAGCTACCTCCCACTCCTAAACTTTGATTGATTTCATTGAAATAAAAATATACGTGTCTAATATTTTTCATTACCTAACTGACGGACTAATTCGATTTTTAATTTTCATACGCTGTCGTCATCCCTGTTGTCACACATTTAAATTTTATGGCATATTTCTTCGCCTGCCAAGTCATAATAGGGCTGCCACTAAACGTGACTTATCACAATCAGAGAGCTCTTAGAATGAACGCTATAATTCCTTAGAGGTTTCAATACGTCATAGGTACAAGCTTTTATGTGACCAAAGAAAAAAAGAGAGTTTGAGAGTCGTTCAACTTTACTCAGACACCTCTGTTTTGTCTCGGAATTCACGAATGGAGGACATCTTGGACGAAAAAGTTTTCGGCAAATGGCTGTTATAAAAATGACTTTTTGATTAACAATAGATATTCTAATGGTTAGTCTATAGTTTCTATGAATTTTTTATTCTTCACATTCATTATATTTTTCAAAAGGGTTTATGAAAATGTAGTAGTATTATTATTGCACTATGTGTTATTTTCAAGAATTTAGATTGTCTATTAAATGTCTAAAAAATATATAATTTTACTTGAAGTCTCGTTGTTTTTGTGTTTAATCTGTTATTTTACAATTTAATATTTTATAGTGCTTTTAACAGAAAATTATTAATTGTATTACCGACCACTAAATCTTGATATTTAAACATATTGTATTTGATAATTTGAAACATTAACACATTCACACAATTTGCAAACTGAATAATTAAAATTATAAATAAATTAAACGACAATAACCTATTCAATGGTTTATTCGTTAGTAATTAATTTAAAATATAAAATCATTTGTCTAAATTAATTTACATTTATGAAAATTAAATGATAAGTTTCATTTTTTGAAATAACAATGCCAATAATTGTGAATAATTACAACGAAGAGAGTTATGATATTGTATTTTAAACATTATAGTTATTACGAGTACGACTGCCTCGTTGGTCTAGTGGTCGCAAGTGCACCTTTTACCCCCGAAGGGGTAGGCAGAGCAGGGCACTTAATGCAACTATAAGTACAATGTAACTGTAAATGTAACACCCACTTTTCACTATTTATGATATTAGGCCCATGTAACAGGGTAAGCCTATTGCCATATATGGGGCAAATATCCAGACCCCGTGCTACTACTGAGATTTTTTTATAAAACCCAGTTATACTTCGCCCGACTTTGGAATCGAATCCGAGACCCATTCCCCAGCATTCGAGCTTACGACCACTTGACCAACGAGGCAGTAAATTACAATATTAATATCACTTTTAATTGTTTGAGCTATAACACTTTCAATGTACATTACTACATACCTAGTATAAAACAAAGTCGCTATCCGCCGTCTGTCTGCCCCTATGTATATTAGATCTTTAAAACTACGCAACGGATTTGATGCGGTTTTTTTAATCTATCTTTTAAAAAAACCGCATCAAATCCGTGGTCCTAGTGGAATTATTCCTAAGAAAGGTTTATATGTATAATACATGCATATTGCACCCGTGTGAAGCCGGGGTGGGTCGCTAGAATATTAATAAAAATGAATCCACAAAATGTATGATCGCGCATAACTTCAGAATGACAATATCAAATTGGATAATTCTTTCTGTCATGTGTTCGTTACCGTCAGGAGAAACTTAGTATAGTAAAAAAATGCAACGGGATGCGCATACGAAGTAGCGGACAGCTAGTAAGAGATAATAGATACCTAGAACACATATCTATCATGTAAACGTATAATAGATAGGTAGGTGGTACATTTCATATGTGCGGTTCGGTGAATGGAAACCGTGATGCTATAATGTAACGTGAGTGAGGTCTATTATCATATACCAGGTGAACTAGGAACAAATCGACTCTATATTACACCTGCAAATTTCAAATTCAAACGCTTGGCATCGCTGCAAGATCTATTGAAGCTGAACTCATATGTATAAGAGAGATTCTCATTAAATAGAATAAGCTTTATTCTACATCATTCATAATACATACAAAAATTCACAGACGCGGTCATATTACTGATGATTGATTTAATTAATTTAAAAAAGATCCTTTGTAATGAAAATATTCGTAAGTTAAGTAATAATTGTGAAATTAATTGTTTGAATCCTTACTTATATTATAAATCGGAAAGTGAGTTTGTTTGTTTGTTCTGCTTTCACGCCGTAACTACTAAACCGATTGCTTTGAAATTTTGCAGACGTAAAGTTAGAAGTCTGGATTAAATAATAGGGTACTTTTTATTCCGGAAAAAATTGATATTTCCGAGGGAAAACAAAAATATCGGTATAGATGGCGCTTTATGTCATTTAAAACCAGTCAACGAATTACCTACTTATTGGAAAAATCTAAATAGCGCGATATAACCGAATTCCAAGCGAGCGGTAAGTTATTGTTTGTTTGCCTGTCTTAAACGGCAGAACGAAGGTTCTAATTAACGTGATTTTTTAACTGAAGGTAGTTGAAGGGATGGATAGTCACATAGGCTACTTTTTATCTTTTGTGACGCGAGCGAAGCCGTGGGTAAAAGCTAGTTTACTATAATTCTACCTAATGTCGTGTAGTCCGGAGGTTTAGACGCCCGCTTCTCATGCATGAGATGAAACCTACCAACGGCAAGTAGCAATGTGACTTTCTCCGAGTTAAACGTACTTTCTCAGATTACTCAGACCCCACTGACAAACAGTGAAGGAAAACATCGTTAGGAAACCTGGACTTATAATTTCTAATTATTAGTTTGAAATCGCCAATCCGCAATGAGCAAGCGTGGTAATTAATGCTCAAACCTTCTCCGTTTGTGAAGAGACTTTGCTCAGCAGTGGGCATTTTATAGGCTGTTGATGATGTACCTAAGTATTTTAGAAAAGAAATCATTTACCAAAATTGAATTAAAGATTATTTAGGTGACTGGTTGACGAGAAGCTCAATTAGTTTCAAGCCATGCAAGAGAAAATATAATAGTTAATGTAGTTTGTCTCATGAAAGATATAATACAATCATAAATATTCTTAGTTGAAACCTCAATATTTATGATCATTAAAAAATATTATCATTTTGTTTCCTTTTTTAAATAATACAATCTATTCACGATGCCTTCTGAGTTGCCGTTTAGCAACACATTGCTAATTTCCTTGGAGAACGCAGCTATTGGTCCTTAGGGATAGAATAAGGAAAATCGCGTTTGTTAAGACCTACTTTTAAACTACGTTACCCTACATATTTATGTAAAAATCGTAATCTAATTTGAGTGTGAGATTGTAATACAGATGTATAATTTCGTTTAAAGAAACACTTAATAAAGATGTCATTTTTCTTTAACACTTTTGGAAAATAATAGTGATTTCAGTAATTATTTTGGATCGAACCAAATAATTTCATATCTATCTAATCTAAATCTAAAAATAATACATATATATCATGGTATAATCAACGATTTTGAAAAAGGTTCCAGCAATTTTCATGAAATTTAATATTCCGGCGTTTTGGGGGCGATAAATCGATCTAGCTAGGTTTCATTTTCGGAAAATTTCGTTTTGTCCGAGTTTTCATTGAATAAAAATATTTATTAGAATATGAAGCTTAATTTCGCTATTGCCTACATATAAAGTTAAAATAGCATAGTAGAGGGAGCGGACGCCTGCTATGCATTTGAGTTCAAACCTCGGTCCGAATGTTTCTTTTATTTTTTCTGTTTTCTATGTTATCTTTTTTGTTATATCTCGTTAATTAAAAAAAAGCATTGCGCAACTTCACACCTACATGCATACAAAGAAAAAAACATACCACTCGAACTCTTTTTTGAAGTTGAATAATATAACGAGTGCTCATACCTATTTACCATAACAAATTCTTCTTAGTATTCATAAATAGTAAATGCAAAGATGGATTAGAGAATATATTACATGTTCTCATTAGTCGGGTTTATAAATTAGTTAATGTTTAATTTGTCTCACCGCAGTAGTTATAGTAGGTACTTACGGCTGATCTTAAGTAAGCCAAACTAATTTCCTTAGAGGATTCACCCTATTGGTCCCTAGGTAATAGGTACGGAACAATTCACGAGGAGAGAACACCAAATCTTGTGTGTTCGGTTGTACAAATTTAAATATTTTAATTTTAATACATTATTATTTGTTCATGTGTCGTACGAAGTATGTTCGATTTATTTTTTTAAATAATTGGTTCTCATTATCTCTATATCCTTGTTTCTTCGCACCCCTCTCCTTCTCCTCCGGTTTAGAGTCGGACAAAAATCGATATTGATTGCCCATTGTTGATAAAAAAAGGAGAACATATTTAACGTCGTGTTTTATCTGAATATGTTACTATTTCTCAATGAAATTAACAATTCAATAAGTAGTATTTTTTTTAAAGATTTATAAATTGGTATTGAAGAGAAACCGTTCAAAAAAGATACACGTAACATTCGGATATTCACTGATATTTTCCCGGAAACGTATTCGGTTGGCACTCCATTTAAGACCTCGTTTTTGCAGCTGCCTCAACAAGGAGTCTGTTGCAAATTACATAATTTATCATGTCGACCCATATGTGGGTGCACGGTAGTGTCTTCAAAATATGCTTCAAACGATTTACGTCGCACAGATTTTTACTTTAAATAATGTCTATTTTTAAGTTTTAATATATTTTTTACCAAACTTTAGCTTTGTCTATTAGGTAATTCCATATAGTTATTCCTGCCAGAGAGTTTCGAATATCAATTATCACTTGTTATGGTCATACAATAATTATATATTAAACTTTTAAGTAAGTATAAGTGTTATTACTAAATTGATTTACGCACTGGTGTTAGTATATTTCTATATTATAAAATCACATAACTTTATGCGAAGGAAGGAGAGACTTGGCAAATTTTTATATCGATGTTTTTTATGGTAAATGCTCGCTGAATACCATTTCCTTTTGGTCTCGATGGAAAAATCGTTCAATTCTCGCGGATATCAACGATGAATGTTTTAGAGTGTTTCCATATGGATTTATTGGAAGAATATTCATGTTTGAAGTGAGTAATAAAATATGATACGTGCTGTATAAAGGTATTTTATTCTAGTGATACGTTTCATGGAGCTGTGAGTGGTGGGATCGAAATATTATAGCCAATTATGTTTCTTTCGCTTTTTAAACTGAATTTTATTCTATTTTTCGATACAGGGTGAACAGAGTTCAAAGTACTGAGCTTAGTATTTATTTATATCTTGCGAGCAGACAGCACATCGAACTTATTTTCAGCTTATTGGGTAAGTACATTTCATCCCTATTACATAGAGTTATATAGGTACATTAATAGGTAAATAGTGGGTATTAAT